ACCAAGTCAGTAAATATTAGTGAAAGCTTTTTCTGTATGGTTATTAAAGATGAAGAAGCTGGAAGAGAGGTTAAAAATGCTCATATTTGTGTCATTTAAACAAAGACAATCTAAAGGGAAGCAAGGACAAAAAATGAGGGGAGAGAAAGACGTGTTTTGTTAGAGCTGCAGGGTTCTGGCTCTTCACTGAGGGTCAGACTGAGACTGAGCTGAAAGTCCAGCACTGTCACTTCCCATCCTTATGGGATCCCACTGAGTGTTGCTGGCTCCGCTGAGGCAACCAGTCCATCAGACTCTAATGTGAGATCTGGCTACTTGATCCTAACAGCCTTTTATGAGTGCCTTCACAACAGTAACAGATGCAGAAATAGCTAAACAATTGTGAGGATGCTGTAAAAAACAGCAGCTAAATGATAAAGGAAACTATGACAAGGTCCCCCCTCCCACAAAAAAAAGAAAAAAGAACGAGACCTTCGATATGAGTGCATACTAATTACAATCACATGAAAAAAGGAAACAGGCATGGAGTATTGATCTTTGAGAGGGACTTAATGCATGTTAATTATTTAAGAATTTTACACAAAAGTCACCATAATATCTAGTTTAATGTGTTTTGATCCATTATCTGTAAAAACCTTTTTTTTTTTTTTTGCCGAAAACCATAAACATAAAACAGCTATTGAATATTTTAGTTTATCAAATTTTTTAAACATGTATGTCATACAATTTTAACTAAGCTGATGTTTTTGTTAACATAACAATCAGATGGACAAAAAAAAAATCTTTTAAAATGCTGTTTGAAAAAAAAAAAATAAATAAATACATTTTTTGAATACATTTAATTCTTTTTATTGTTGCTGTGATGACGTTTTTTAAAAATAATCATAAAATTGATGTGGTATGCGAACATTTCTTGACTGCATAATAAATGATCAAATAGGAATGTCCTGTTGGGTTTGTTTACATGCAATGCAGAGGAAATGACAGAGGATATTTCTTAAGGAATCATTAAATACCACTGTGAAATATTTCAGCTGCTACTTTTTCCAACTAAAGTTTAACACAGAAGGAGAGGGATAGATGAATGGCCAACTCAAGGAAATTACATTTGACTAATATGAAGCTGCTGATGATTCTATTTGCTATGAATTTAACTCTGTCATTTCAACAATTATGCAAATTGACAGTATATCTGGAAGGAGATGTGGGTTATTTGAATAAGCTTTTGTAGGCAATAAGCAGCCCTAATATATAACTACATTTAGAAACATTTTCCTGGTTTAATTTAATTATATACTTAAAGTTAGACTTGTCTGTTAGAGATACATCTACGAAATACACCTTTAAACTACCTGCTTTTTGCTTGAGGGGCAAAAGTTATAAGCACAGCGAAATAACTGGACCTCATTCTCAGACTGTTGGAAAATGTAAATTTGATGCTTTATGGGTAAAAACCACTTCAAATAAGGAAAACAAATTCCTCTCAGGGAAAAATAAAAATGTATATATAATAACTCAGTATCTATTGTACAGTGAAAAATACATTATTTGTTTCTTGCCCCTACACAAATGATTTATAATTTTTACTGGTGCAGTATTACTTAGCAGCATAATTGGACAGAGTGTGATTTATAAGAAATGTGAATTATAGGAAATTACCTTTACAACATTAGTTGATGCCATTATTTCTTATTGCAAGATCAAATACCAATAACAAGGAACCTGTGAAAGTATCTGAACAGCTTTCAAAGGAGGCCATAGTGATGAGCCACACAGGATAAGGAGATCAAGCAGCAACTGTATATAAAAATCTACCACAGATAATGTTGCAGTTTTCACTGTTTATCCATCAAGAGGTTCACAGCTACATAAAATAGGAAGAAGCTTTAGTAATGCCAGAACTAAAATTCTGTTTAACTTGTTTTTTCTCCCCCATGAGCTGTCAGATACAGCAGGTCAGCCACCGCTGCAATACTTTAAACACGTGCTTTCACTGCCATCTAGAGGCAACTAGATGGCAGTGCCTCTAAAAAAAAAAAGGAAATAATCATGCCTGTGTCAATTCTCAGTCATCTGGGTCGTTAAAAAACAGAACAGGTTTAAATCGTAGACAATTTACTGTCAGACATGGACTGATATAGGCTAACTTTTTGGATACATGACAACCATGAAGAAGTATGATAAAGAAAATCATTAAACAGTACCCTGTAGCATCAAAGATAAATAAAAATTATCTTTATCAAAAAGCATCAATTTCACTCTTATGTTATAAAATCGTTTGATTATAGAAACTGTATTTAACTCTAAATATCTTTGGGGATTTGTGTTTGTGAGTTTTTCATTGTTCATCATCACAAATAAAAGAAGACAGGATAAGAAAAAAAATATTGTAATCTCCTTTATAGTAGTTTGTTAAACCAGGAAAGAAAACCCAACAGCAGCACTAATATAGGTTATCAAGATTTGACATTTAATTGCAAATAACCTCTGTAGGATTGCTGTGATACTAAAATTTATACTCTACCCAATACTCAGGAAAACCCTTGATAGCATCAATATTTTAGGGGGGCAATCAACAAGCATTTGATTAATTACATAAAAAATATTTAAACTTCCTGGATAAGGGTAAAACAGTAGAGAACAACTGAGCCCTCATTTAATAACAATATAAAAATATCAAATCCCTGTTTGGCAAAACAGTAAAGATAAAATGTAGTTACGTTGTCAATAACCATTATAAAACTTTTTAAATTTGATTTAGCTGTATAATTAATTATTTCACCTTTATTTTTAAAGGACCACTGTTTGCTGATGTTTGTCCAGCAGCTTGCCATTGATACAAATAATAGTTTCTTTTTACTCTTGAGGGATAAATAGAATTCTGTTTTACAATAAACTATTTTTTGTTTAAATAATCATGGTTATGAAAAAACAAAACAAACATATTTTTAAAAGAGTAAATGAGGATCTGCTCCATAATGATGTATCCAGTAGCAGCATTGTACAATTTCTGTCTTTCTGGTAATATTCTTCAGTGATGAGCTACAACTAACCGTTAGCTTCCGCTTGGCTCCCTCATTTCCTTGTGTAATTATCACCTATATTAGCCTTCATTGCTTTTATAACTCAACTATTTAGACAAACCTACTCTGCAGAAAGAATGTTTCCTAAAACTGGCAAACCACTTTCTGTTTTTCAAGTGTAAAGAAAAAGAAGATAAGAGATGCTGCAAGTCACCTGTCATAGGATCAAAAAGCTGATTGGCTTCCAGATCCGTAAAAGTGGAGAAGCAGCAGGGGCATCTGAAGGAGGCCCGGTTGGTTGAGTCCCGCTCATCTGTCTCAATGCGTCGTCGCATGTGATCCAGCTTGTACTTCACTACATTAACCAGCACCCTAAACAAAAATAAAACGTGTTTTCTGATTTATGCACAGTTAAATGAAACATAACTATGCGGAAAAGATAAAACTACTGTGTTAAACCTGTAGTTAATGAAATAGTAGTTGTGGCGGGTTGTCTTGCCATCAGGCGCCGTCTCTACTCTCATTCGGCACTTGACAAACTTGTCTGCCTTTAGGGTGTTGAGCACAGAACGCAGCTGCTTCCGGTCGAACTTCAGGAGCTCCAGCATGTCCTCCTCTCTGACACATGGGTTACGTATCAGTACGTCCAGAGCTAAGGCATGTTCTATTCCATAAAAACCCCTTACAACCTGCTTAGCAAGCCGCTTCAGAGCTGCTGGGACTTCAGTTAATATCTCTGGTTCGATCATTGTTAGCTGTGAAGGGAAAAAAATATTGTGATTTAAATCTGCTAACAAAACATGCTTGATAGAGATGTTTTAAAACACATTGTAACTAGGGGAGGCTAAGACTCCACATGAAGAGTTCTGGATAGAGCGTATTGACAAACAAAGAAGACTTTTCATCTTAAATTTAAACCAGTTGCATTTCTTGTACAATTTTGGCATAATTACTTGTCTGAGTGGGTTATACTTTCAGGAAAAGGCATGCTTTAGCACAGTGATCTAAACAAAAACATCTAAGCACAGAATCTTGCAACTGTTGGTTCTGTTCTTTGCTCTACACACCTGAATCCATTAGCATCAATCCAGCTCTGCTAATGAGCTCATATTGGAGGCAGAGATGCGTATAATGGTTGCAGGAGACCAGCCTTCAAGGATTGGTGAGACCACAATAGTAACTGATTATTTCAATAATCAATTAAACTGATCCTCTCAGTTTCTTTCACTGCAGTATCTTTCAAACTTTGTCCCTTTCTTGCACCCATTGTTTGAGTCAGGTATGTAGAGGCTGTAATATACCTAAATATGAAGGGTAACCCCGTTTAAAAACCACTATTTTAAAGAAACCACTGTCATAATGGAAAAACCTTGATCAGTTCTGTTTAAAAAAATCCTCAAACTGATTACTTTTTATTTTACATGACCTGGCAATGCTACATTGAGCACTGGCGGTAACAGGATTTAAGCTAAGCGTCTTTTAGCCAAGAAAAGTCACATAAACGTTGTAGTAAATATCTCGTACACTTGTTTTGTAAACCACTATCGTTTTTTAATCAGTCTTTGCAAAACGTACTTCAAACATTTTAGTTCAATAACACAAGCTAAGTGTTTACCTCATGTGAACTACATTTATTAAAGTTCGTTAGCTTACCCGTTAATCTTCCCGTTTCACAAGTTGGACAAACTGGAATGTTTTTTTAAGCCATTTCAGACTAAAGTCACCAGATCATAGTGTGAAAAATAAACAGAAATCAATCAATATTCTAGACATCAGACGTTTTAGTTGCTAAACTTTGCTAATGCGTTACAGAATTTATCGCGAGAACGTAACCCCGGAACTAAAACTATGAGTAGGATGCCCATTGGTCAGAAACGTCGTTGGATGAAGAAAGGTTTTAAAACTAGCCAATTAGCGTAAAGAGAATGGTCTTCAAGGCGGGGATTGGTTTTTGTCCTTCCGGAGGGTGCTTTCGTCATTAGAAATGGCTTCTCTTGACAGAGTAAAGGTGTTGGTTTTAGGAGATTCAGGTAAGTTACGCTTCATTTTACAATCTAAACACTTATATATATGCAGTACTGGTCAGCATGCATTACTTTCTAGACTTTTTTTCGGTTGCTTGAAAAACCCTTAACGTCTTAATGTAGAGTTTAATGTAGAGTGCATTATTTGTGGATTCCTGACTAGTAGACAGTTGAAACTATTCATAGTTTCATCTTTCAATATTAAATATATTCCTTTCTGTGCCATTATATTTAAAAATCACTAAAATGTGCGATTCATTTTGTGTTAACAGGCATTCAACCACAAAAATTAAAGTTGAATCTTGTCAAAAGCTTAATAACAAATAATAACTTGATACTGATAATAGCTTAATTGAAATATAATTCATCTTTGAACATTTTATATCTTAATGTTGAAAAATAGAAGTTGTATGACTTTGCGAGATGGAGGCAGTCAGAACGTTTTTCTAATATGCACTATATTCAATTAAATGTTTGTACATTTCCTATAGAAAGATTTCACTTAAACTTTTAACATTTCTTCTTATTTACAGGGGTCGGAAAATCTTCCTTGGTCCATCTAATATGTCAGGGTCAGGTTTTAGGAAATCCATCTTGGACTGTCGGCTGTTCTGTAGATGTACGGGTAAGCACCATTAAAAACACAAACCCTGTCTTTTAAATCATGTGGAATAGTACTGTTTGCCTTATTTGGATTTAAATGGGTTACATTTCCCTGTATAATTTTAAACAGAAATAGTTTTATTGACTATGTTTATAGTCATTAATATTATGCATTAACATGCTATGATATTTTTGTCTTTAAGATGTTCTATTCTAACTTTAAGATACAAAAACATAAAAATTCTATCAACTTTTATGCTTGTTTTTTTGTTTGTTTTTATCCAACACACCTTCTAATGATATAATGTCGACTGTAGTACTATAATAACACAACATCTCTAATTCAAATGTAGGTTCAGGATTACAAAGAAGGAACCCCTGAGGAGAAAACCTTCTACATTGAACTCTGGGATGTTGGCGGATCTGTTGGCAGTTCCAGCAGTGTTAAAAGCACCAGAGCCGTCTTCTACAATTCAGTAAATGGTGAAAAAAAAAAAAAAAAAAACTTCTTTTCTGGTTCAGAGCTAAGAAATTTTATAAAGATAAGTTAGTTTTTTTCATCTTATGCTGTTTCTTGTTGCTTTGTAGGAATCATATTGGTGCACGATTTAACAAATAAGAAATCTTCCCAAAACCTCTACCGGTGGTCAATGGAAGCTTTGAATAAGGATTCCTCTCCAACAGGAGTCATTGTCTCAAATGGGTTGGCTTTGATTTTTTATTTTTTTTTTTACAATAAGAAAATTTCTTAACGTTTATCCATGCAATAAGCTCCTGCCAGTGTAGCATTAAATGCTTTTTTGTTTTTTATGTTCATCTGAATGCAGTGACTATGATAGAGAACAGTTTGCTGAGAACACGGTGCCTTTGCTGCTGATTGGAACAAAGTTTGACCAGATTCCAGAGAACAAACGCAGTGAAGTTCTCACTAGGACGGCCTTCCTCTCTGAAGATTTTAATGCAGAGGAGATCAATCTTGTAAGTTTCTGTTCTTAAATTGAACTTTAGCATTAAAAAAAACAGATGTTGCAACACCTAGCTCTTTAAACAATGGTAAAATTTTACAGTTGTTTGCATTTCTTATGATAAAAAACTAATTTTTTTGAGTTCATTAAACAACAGATTTTACTGTATGACTTGTTTATTTATGCTTTGAAAAAGATATAATAAAATCAAATAATTGCCCCCCTGGTTAAAGTTGCAGTTTAAAGTGTCCTCTGTGTTTAACACAGCCCAGTGGCTGCTTGCCATGCCTGGGGAACATTGTGAGGTTAATGGTCTCAGAAACCACAGTGTCACAGACTGAGGTTAATTTTCACGCCCTCCTCAGGATGTAAATGCCCCTCTGTCTAACCACCAGACTGCCAGTCCACCACCTAGGAAAAAAGAAATCTGAAAATATTTTCATGTCTAAATGTTGAACTTTTTTTTCCAGGACTGCACAAACCCAAGATACTTTGCTGCAGGCACATCAAATGCTGTGAAACTTAGTCGATTTTTTGATAAGGTGAGAAACCTCAGTACTGTAATGCACACATGTGAGCAAAATTGTTGGCACCCCTTGTTTACTGATAACACAATCGTGACAGAAATAGCTTGAATCTGATTAAAGTAAAAATAAATAACAATTCTATGAAAGTGAACAAAGGAAAGCCAGATTCTGATTTCTAACCATGCTTTAATGGAAGAATTAAAACAACTAGACTCATGAAACGGGCCTGGACAAAAATAACGGTACCGGTACCCTTCATTTTATTCTTATGCAATACCTTTTTAGGCAATTATTGCAATAAAACGATTCCTGTAACTGTCAGCTAGCCTCAGGTAATTTGTCCATGTGTTTAATCTTAAATTATGTGAAGGACAGCCGTTTTAGGACACCACAACATCATTGTTCTAAGTCTACCTAAGACTTTCCTAGTATTTTTTTTCCTAAAAGAAATGCATATTCTTACAGAAGAAAGTTGATACACAAATATAAAATGTAGTTGTTTTTTCTATAAGAGCTAACAGTTTAAACTGAAATTCCACAGTTATTTTTATTCATTATTACTGTTGCAGTAACCAGAAAATATTTGAACTCTTGGCAGGTAATAGAGAAGAGATACTTCACCAGAGATTCAAGTCAGGTGGGTTTTACTTTCACTTTTACTGTTTGAACTTCAGAAAGAATATTTTCTAAAACCACAACCCTTTTATGGGATCTACAGTAATTGTCTTTTTTCTAAAAAGGACTCGATATAAATGTTGAACTTCAACTTAGCTATGATTTTCTTTCATATCTTTGCAGATCCCAGGCTTTACAGACAGAAAAAGGTTCAACTTCAAAAGTTTGCACTATGACTAATTTCCATGAATGCAACATTGGTGGTCTGTGGTTTTTATCATCACAGCTGTGGGTTGTAGTGCTAGAGTTTACCCCCTGAAGCTATCGACAAAAACAACCCCTCCTCCATCTCTCTCTCTCTCTCTGTGGATTATATTGTATTTAGTTGATCTAAATGTAGAAATGGAAAGAATATATAAATTCAGGTGAGGTACATTATTAAAGAGTGCTTTTATTGTAAATGGCAACATATATTTTTATTCTGTCATATGCAAATCATCTACATCTGTATGTTTTTCTAAAGCTTACATTTCTACTGGTTTTCTTTGCACATTCTAAGTGACGCATTTAACCAGATTGCTTCATGCCCGCATCACCTCCTTGATCCATGGCAGGAAGTAATGGACTTTAGTGAAAACATGTGGATACTTTCGATTATCACATTTTTTTTTTAAAGTAAAAGCTGTTATGCCTTGAACCCTGGTGTCACAGATGAGAGGTCCACCTGAATCCCCCTAAAAAGAGAGACAAAGGAAGAGTTGATCAGGGCTTTAAAGGGAAACAAACCTTTTTTCTGTTTTGTAGAAATAATTTTTTTTCTTTAATATTTTCATTCACTGTATACCCAGTTGATTACCTGACATACTCCTCCCTGCCCAAACTTGGTGCAGATCATTTGCTGGGAATTGAAATACTTTCCCCAAATATTTTTGCACTCAAAGCTGAATTGGATCTTCTCTTTGGCTTCCCTCAGAAGATCTGAAATATTTTTATCAGAGCCAGTTTTTCCCCAGCCAGCTACATCACAATTCAAGTTTGCATTAATTTCCTCATTTTCTTTTGCTAATGCAATTGTCTTCACATACTGGTTGAGCTTGGCCTTTTTTTCCAACTGTGAAGAGAACACATTATAGAGAACATTGTAACATTGAAAGAAGAATTGATATGAAATAAAAACAAAAACAAATGTTCAATTTTGTGTCAAATAAGCATGTTTTTTTTTTTCATGTTTTCAAAAATATTTTATCATTTGTTGGCACAAATATTTGATTAGAGTGAATCTCAAAATTTACTAAGCACTGTTAACATTTCAGATTTTATATTTTATCACTTCAAACATTTCTAAACATTGTTCACCTTAAAATTGACATATCACAACAGAAAAACAGACGTCTGTCAGCCTGTAGGTAAATATGGTTGCCCAATAAGAGGTATATTAATGCAAATATTTAACAGTACATACCAGGATACAAAGTGGCTATAAAATACTAAATACAGACTCTTGTGTCGTGAGGGATCTAATTAAAAAAGTAAATTGCTAATTGAATATAACTCTTAGTTCTACATTTTGGAACCACCAGCCTCTGTCCTAATGGCAGATATTGAAGGAGACGGTTCAGGATGCTTAAGCTTTACAGATCATTTTATAGTCTGATTGAGTTCAATCTTGTTATTGCCAAATAAATGGGTAAGAAAAGGATAAATGGATAAAAACTAGTTCTTTTGTAGAACCACTTTTAGTTTTAATCTCAGTACTCAGTTTTCTTTTATGGGAGTTTATCGTTATCCCACATTTGGGCTTTGCTATATTTACATAAGCATTCTCAATCTTTTAAAATTGTGATGACACCTATCCATCTACATCTATATTCAGGTGACTCCCTCAGTTTTCGTTCTATTACATTTAATTCAAGACTCACAAGGACACTTTTAATCTTTCAGCTGTATTTAATATTTGAACTTGAACACATACTAGGAGTCCCAGTCTTGCCAATTAATGTCTAATAGAACTGAACTGGTATTGAGCAATACTGTGAAAGATGGACATCCTGATGGTAAAGAACATGGTAGAGCAAGTTCAGGCAGCAAGTTGTAGGATATTTGCCGCATGAAGGGCTTGTTGATTTTACAGAATAGATTGTATAATGTATTTTATTGTATAATATAATAAACTGAGTTTCTTTTTTTATGTTTGGTTTTGAAATATGTGAGTGAAATTAAACCATAAATAAAATACCACAAACCATGTAAGAGAAATCTTTCAATTGGGATCCATCGTAAAATGTGTTGCATGAGTTTACCTTCAGTAGCATAATGTCGTATTCATACTCCTCTTTGGATTTGTATTGTGGATGTACATGGTACTTCTTCACTTGTATCTTTTGCTGACTTTCCTCCTTCTTGCTAATGTTATGAGCCCCAAGTACAACCGTGAAGTCTTGGTAACAACTAGTAAGCAAAAATATATGTTTAATGGATAATTGATAGGAACTTGTATCTATTTGAAATATCCTTAAAGGTACACAGAAATAACATGTCATTATGTTTAAATATGTACATTTGTACTGTTTCCAGAAAAGACTCACTTCTTGCAGTGTGCTGCAGTCAGAACATAGTCCTGACGAATAAGCATTCCACCACATACATGTTGACCTTGAATTTGTAGCGATGCCATGTAGGGTCTGGAATGTGGTCTTGCCACTGTGCCACCTGTTATACCGCTCTCTGTTGCCCCTTTAAATGAAAAAGAAATGTGATTTTTATTTTTTTTTTGTTTGTAATAAAACCTTTTTTGTAATGACGAAAAAAGTCTAGCCGAAAAAGTTTTGTTTTTCATTGAGAGAAAAAAGAAAAAGATTTCTTACCACAGATTGTGATTAAAAGAAGGACGTGAATGATACCACCTGTGTGTCGCATTGTTGCAGGAAAAGGATGAATCGTTTAGTTTGCAGAGCCCCCTCACCACCTTTTGTAACCAGCCTCAAAACTCACAAACGGAAACCTGGTGGGGAGGTGTTGAAGAGGTTCATGCATTAGTGTAATCACACCTATCTTAAGTGCTACTTCTCTGAAACTCGGCATGATTACCATAAATGGTCAGGAAATGTCCCACCAGGGATATATTTTTTTCTGCAATTAGTGTTTTTTTTTTATAAAATATAAATGATCACATAGAAATAAGCATTTTTATCACATATACAAAACTACTTTTTTAAATTTTGACAAGCAGTTGGCAGTTTCTAGGCTACACTATTAATGAAATTTCTTTGATACAGATTTCTGCTCTGATTAAAGGCAGGATGTTTGTTTTATTTGGTTCACCTTTGAAGTGAAGCTGTTTAGGCCCAGCTGAACATAGAAACTAGAAACCCCAACTTTAAACCACAAACTTTCCTTTTTTCTATTGATCATATTTTTTTGCCAGAGTTTTTTTATTGTATAACTTGCTTTTGGGATTTAATTCTTGGTAACTTTTTAAAAATGTTTTCACATCAATAGAAAACTTAAAATACAAACGGGGTTAAACTCATGTAAATCATTGACTTCGCCTAAAAAAAATACCAGTATAACACAGAGCTTAGTGTTATACCACAATGAACCAACACAATCTACTCTTCCTATGTGACACAGTTTACTTTGGTTAACTGAGAGGGGTAAGAACTTTTACACTTTAGACCTGCCTTAGTGGTTGCATCCTGTTTCATCAAACTTTTTCTCATCCAATTATTCTATTGCATCTGCCTAAGTAAAATTATTCAGGAGGTTAGATGAGTAAGTAGCTAATCAAGCACTGTGGTACCATGATCATTAAAGTGGGTAGGAACAGTGTGTGTAAGTCCTGCTGGCACATTCATAAAGCTTATCAGCGTAAGGAAGAGTGCCCTAAATCTTTCTGTTAATCATCTGCACTTAATTTGGAGTCAAACTAACAGTAAAAAAAACACAGCCTGATGATATGGCTCCCCATATAAACAGAAGTTTATTAACTTTATATTAGGCCTGGGTAAAAAATCGTTTGGATTAATTAGCATTTTTTGTTGCAGGCAATTTAAAAAAAATAAAGTAAATGGTTTTTGTATGTCTACCATAGCTTACATAGCGCTAGTTTCACATTACAGGATGGCAAGTAACAGCATCACACAAAATGGCATGTGACCTTATGGCTACGTATTAGAGAGAGAGGTTTGTTCCCAAGAAAGGAATAAAATCATCTGTTTTTTTGGAGCTGGTATAGGTTTGCTGCTATAGGCATGAAAGAAGAGACGTCACGCTGTTACATTTTCCAAAAGGCCCATCCCAATCAAAGGCAGCAGCACCGCAAGCCTTTTTCATGACCGAAAACAGGGGCATCCAGCTATGTATAAAAAAAGACAGTCTATCCAAGACAAAAAAAATTGCACTGACCAACAAATCTCAGCTACAAATTGCTAACTGTAGCTAAATCTCTTGCACAAGGCACAGCATATGACAAGAAAGGGACACAGTCGAGAACAATCACCAGAACGGTCACATTGCACATGGCCAAATACATGATGTCTATATTTTAGAGAAGAAGGTTTTTGTTAACATGATAAAAACCTTAGACCCATATATGAGCTACATAACAAGTACTTCAAGCAGGTGGGAGAAAAGGCAAAAAAATAAATAAATAAAAACAAATCTGTAATTTCATTTTAAGGCCTTATCACCCAGCACTACTTTACATTGGACCTCAGGACATGTGGCCTATTTTTCTCTTCTCTTTTCTTCCAGTCTCCAGACCCATGAATAAAAAAAAAAAAACTGAGTTAGTTTTGTCAAAACAGCATCTTTGGATCATGCAAAAAAAAGTAATTTGTGGACATAGCTTGGGTAACGCTTGCTTTGATTCATGGCATGCAAGTGTCGTAGCACATTTCCAGGTTACGTTTGTGTGGGGTTCCCTTAAAGCTCAGATTTCAGCTCCTTGTGAGTACCTTTTGAATCTTCCTCAAACTAGTGAATTTATTTGTTTGGCAATCATTTGGCTTGTGTCAAAAAAGACAAGACTAACATTTCCATGACTTTTGACTTTGTACAGCTGTCGCTGTATAGGAAACCAGACCACAAGCTGTGTTTTGTAAAATTAACTGAAGATCCAAATAGATTCACGGAGCCAAATCACAAGTCTTAGTAAAATTACTACATTAAAATAGCAATAAAAAAATGTTTTAATCTTTTTATATGCATAATTGAAAACAGATATATAACATTCATTTTGGTTTCTCTATCATTAATCCACTTTGTTCCATTTTCTTTGCTGGTTTTTAGTTATTTTTACCTTTATTTATGTAGCTTAGACTAAATAAGCTAAATTTTTCCATTTGCATTTTGCAGTCTTCTTACCATAAATATGTTTCCTCCAACACCAGAATCTCTTTGGTCAAACTGTACCTGTCTCTGAATTGATATAATTTTTTCCACCTAATATCCCAAAATTAGCCAACAAATCCATTACTTCAATCAACAAGTACTGAGTTCCACATATTTCAGACCCAATGTGAAGCTTTAATAGTCTATTCTTCTCTGAAAACATGAAGTAATCAGATGTTGTTCCCTTTCTCCCTGATGGTGCTTCAGGAGTACTGTAATATATCTAAACACCAAAAACGTATCCCCATTAGGTCAGTGACAAATCTCTTGGCGAATGAAAAACACTTTCAGCATCACAAAAACTAAAAACTAGCTGATCAAAAATGTCAGACTTTATATAACATTTGCTTCAATGCTGGAGATGTTTAAACAAGGAGGTAGTTAACTTTGCCTTATTGACCACAGACCAGAATTTCTGAATGATTTTTTTTTTTTTCTGTAATGCAGAATTGGTGAAAAACGCAGATATAGGACAACAAACTCCCAATCAAGCTTATTCACTTTAAGTACAGAGAAGTTTTTCTTGGTCTGTTAAAAATATATTTAATTGAAACCCTAAACTTCTCTTGTATTATTTTATTCTATACTCTCACTCATAATTACTGTATGTATGGGCCTATCTGCCATTTTTGAATAACTTAAGGGCCTTGGCAGCTTATGTAGATAAGAAACGGCCAAGGGTCAAAGTCTAAACAGTTCTCCACTTCATCATGGCCATCAGGTTTGTTGCCCTAATATTAATTGTCTCTGGCCTGAGATAGAGCTTGTAACTCATGGTGAAATTGTGCAAAATTAATATAAATTCCCACTGTCCCTGTTATACAGGCTCTTATGGCGTCTTTGTTGTACATCATGAGTGTTTGGGTTTGATAGTGAGTTCATCTTGCAAATATTAAACTTTTGGTCAAAAGCTGGTTCTCAGTGATTCTGTCAATTTAGAAGATTTTAGATAGTAAAAAATAATTAACCAGACTAACTTATTCATGGAGCAGCATAGGTTACTTTTTGTATCCTGCTTATGGCAAACAGAGGTCACTGGGGGTAGCGCTGGAAAACACCATCTGTATCAACTAAGTTTGCAGTAAGTGTTTGTGGTTGGACCTTTGCGTCTGCTGTTTTCAGCACATTTTCAAAAAGCTGCTGTGTGAGAAACCAAAGGTTGAAAATCTTCTTGTCTGAAGAGTAAAGTTTCCCTCAAAGAATAAAGAGGCATTTTTTATTAAGCTTTATTGGACATAATTCCTATGCATATGCAAAACAAAAGGTGTAAAACATCTATACTATATATTTTTTGTTTTTATTCTTTTTTTATTTAAACATTTCTCCTGCTCCCTTGGCTTATTTTGCCATATGTCTCATTTCTCCATCATCTTGTTGATCCAGGGGAGAAAGAAGCTAACTTTGGTGAAGACATGTGGGTATTTTGTATTGTCACATTCATTTACAGCAGTGAAAGAAGTTATTCCTCGAAGCTTGTCATTACAGATCAAAGGGCCACCAGAATCACCCTAGAAAAAGAGATGAAGACCTGGATTACATTTTTAGAAAAATACAATTAACAAAAAAAAAAAAAGCAAATATTCGTTCACTGTTTATATGCATCAAAATGGAATGTATGTGATGTTTACCTCGCATATTCCTCCCTTGTTCTTGTTAAACTTGGTGCAAATCATTCGCTGAGAGGTAAAATGTTCTTTCCAAACTTGATCACACTCATTCTTGAATTGTGTCTTTTCTATTCCTTCTTTCAGAACAGTTGAAGTAGGTTTATTTCGTCCAGTTTTGCCCCAGCCAGCAACAACACACTCCAGGTTGGCAGGAATTTTCTTATCTTTCTTTGGTAACTCAATAGGCTGGACATTTTTATTGAGTTTAGCATTATTTACCAGCTGTAAAACGAAGCACAGATACCTTAAACCTCTGCAGTTACATTAACTTACATTTTAGTTTTACTTGTGATTTAGAAAAATGCTTTTGTCTTGTCAAAGTTTATTTCAGTGATACTTTGAAAAACTGAAATGACTAAGTGTATATCAAATAACATCTATTTCAGTTATAAATGTACAAAATGGAAATAATTTAGAAAATAGATTCCTTGTACAAAGCAACAAATGTTTGTATTTCATTATAGTTTAAAGCCAATTAAAATCCCAAAATTTGTCTTTTGACTGATTGATTGACTTCATGAATGGATATTTATATAAATAGTTATTGCACTGGGTGTCAAATATAGAGACGGGTTATTGCACAGGGTTTAAAACCTACTTCAACTCTTTAGCATGGCAACTAATGTGACAGATTTTAAAAAGGATGTACGGTAGTCATGTAATGTCCTACACATAGGAAAATGGTAAATGTCCTGTACTCATATAGGCATTTTTCAAGTCAGAAAACTTGAGCAAAGCCCTTAGTATTACATTCAGTCATTCACCCATTTACACACAC